GTCCGGACCTCGGGGCCACTCCAGGGGTCGTCGACGTCGTCGTCGTCGTCGTGGTGGTGGCGGTCATCGTCGTCGTCGTGATCGTCGTCGTCGTCATCATCGTCGTCGTCGTCGTCTTCTTCGTCGTCGCTTGTCGCCGCCCCTGTCGTCGTCGAAGTCGTCGTCGTCGATGATCACACGAGCGAAAACGAGAGCAGCAAAATGTGGCGCAGCCGTGAGTAGAACGTAAGCGCGCGAAGCGCGCGTGTGGTCTTAGTGTGTGTGTGTGTGTATATATATATATATAATATATATATATATATATATATATATATATCCCCGTGCACGAGACCGGGGCGCCCGGGACCGCGACCTCGGTTGCGCATGGGGGTTCCGGGGCTCTTGGGGCGCTCCCGGGACGCCCCTGGAGGCGCCAGACCGCCCCAGAGAGGCCCAGGACGCTCCCAGAAGTCCCCGGGGAGTCTCCAAAAGCCTCCCCAGGAAAGTTTAGATGGCCCCAACGTGGCCAAAGAGGGGCCCAAGACGGCAAACAGACCGCCCTATAGACTTTGAAACGGCCCCAACAGAGCTCCGAGAGGCGTTCCAAAATGGCCTCGCGAGGCCAACAGTTGATTTTCATTGGTTTTTACGATGCTTTTTGATTTCTCGCTTTTCCAGCTTTCCGACGCTCCAAGACGGCCCTGGAGGTTCCCACGGGAACCCAAAGACGGCCCAACAGGACCCCAATGGAGCCTCATGACGGCCCAAGAGAGCCTCTAGATGGCGCAAGAGGCCCCCCCGCGGGCCCCAAGACGGCCCAAGAGCCGCCCAAGACGGCCCAAGAGGCCCCCAAGACGGGGAGATCCGAATGGACTTTTCGGGCCGTCGGCCCCAAGAAGCTCCCAGGAACCCCAAGAGGCGCCCAGGAGGCCCCCAAGCAGCCCCAGAGGCCTCCAAGAACCCCCCCAGAGAGCTTCGAGAGGCGTTCCGAGACGGCCTGACGAGGCCAACATCGTTGATTTTCATTGTTTTTTTGCGATGTTTTTTGCTGTCTCGCTTTTCCGGCTTTCCGACGCTCCAAAACGCCCCTGGAGGCCCCCAAGGGAGCCCCAAGACAGCCCAAGAGGACCCCAAGGGAGCCCCATGACGGCCAAAGAGAGCCCCAAGACAGTCCAGGGACCCCCAAGCGCGCCCCAAGACGGCCCAAGAGGCCCCCAAGACGGGGAGGACCCAAATGGACTGTGCGGGCCCTCGGCCCCAAGAAGCCCGCAGGAGCCCCAAGAGGCGCCCAGGAGGCCCCCAAGCAGCCCCAGAGGCCTCCAAGAACCCCCCCAGAGAACTCCGAGAGGCGATCCGAGATGGCCTCGCGAGGCCAAAATCGTTGTTTACCATTGTTTTTTACTATGTTTTTTGCTTTGTCGCTTTTCCAGATTTCCGACGCTCCAAGACGCCCTTGGAGCCGCCCAAGAGAGCCCCACGACGGCCCAAGAGGACCCCAAGGGAGCTCCTATGACGGCCCAAGAGAGCCCCAAGACAGCCCAGGATGCCCCCAAGCGAGCCCCAAGACGGCCCAAGAGCCGCCCAAGACGGCCCAAGAGGCCCCCAAGACGGGGGGGATCCGAATGGACTTTTCGGACCCTCGGCCCCAAGAGGCCCCCAGGTGGCCCAAGAGACGCCCAGGACGCCCCCAAGCAGCCCCAGACTCCTCCAAGAACCCCCCAAGAGGCCCCCGAGCAGCTCCCAAGAGGCCCCCCGAGCAGTCCGAAGAGCTTCCATGGGCCCCGTGTTTCGTCGTAAATGCTTGACGGTCCGGGGCCCTGTTTCGGGCCTCAGGAAGCGAAGAGTGGTCCAGAAGCTTTGGGAGCGGGAAGAGTACCTGAGGGCGTCTGGTCAGGGGGCTGTTGGGGGGCCTCTAGGGAGCTTCTTGGGGGCGTTTGGGGGGCCTCTTGGGGCCTCCTTGGGACCTCTGGGGGCGGAGGGGTTGAAATGTTCGTAGGGCATCCTCTCTGGGCCCCTGCTTGGGGCCGTCCTGGGTCCCTCTTGGGCCGTCTTGGGGGCCTCTTGGGCTAGCCAGGGGCCCTTTGGGGCTTTCTTGGAACCCTCTTGGGCTGTCTTGGGGCGATCCTGGCGGCCTCTCGGGCCGTCTTTGTTCCCCTGGAAGGTCAAGGGGCGAATCCCTCAAAAATGTACGTTTTCCGAAGGGAACGGGACCACTTTTGCCTCTTGGGGCCCTCTTGGGAAGGCTCTTGGGGCCCTCTTTGGCTGTCTCGGGGGCTCCCGGGAGCCCTCTTGGAGCCATCGTCGGCGTCTTCAAGCTACATTTCGAGGCTTGTGCGCCCTCTTGATATGTTTGGCGGCCTCCGACGCCCTCGGCTTCTGGGCAACTCTTCGCTTCCTGAGGCCGTTCTCGGCCACCGGTGCCCCTGAACCGGCCCTGGGCCCACCAAAAAAGGATGATGGCAACCCGACCCCGGGGCGGGCGTGCCGACCTTTCTCTCCTCACCCAGGACAGCCCCGGATGGGGTCCAGGTGGAGATGACTGCAGTTCGTGCGCCGATTGTGGTGCTACTGATGATTACGATGGTAGACGCGGTGGCACTGGCCGTGGTGGTGATGATGGTGGTCGTGGTGGTCGCGGCAGTGGCAGTGGCAATGGCCGTGGTATTGGTGATGGTATAGGCGGAGATTGAACGCATGGCCGTTACAATGGTCGCGGGAAGTGCAATCGTTGTGGAAAAGGTGGTCATGCCCAGAATGGACATGGAATCGGAAGTGATCGTGAACGCGGTGATGGCGCAAAAACAAGTCGTAGCCGTGGCGGCATTGCCAATGTCAAGAGTGGGCGCAAGTGTGACTAGAACCTAAGAGAGCGCGAAGCGCGCGTGGTTCTAGTGTGTATATATATACATATATGTGTATATATGTATATATATATATATATATATATATATATATATATCAAAGGCTTTGCGGCTGGTGCTACCGACCCTGAAGGGGAACGACGACAACGGCGGCGGCGACGATGACGACGACGACGCTGGCGCGGTTCAGAGTCCTCATGGCTTCTTTTTGGGGTTTCTTCGAAGCGCTCTCGGGGGCCTCTTGGGAACAGTTTCGGGGCCTCTTGGGAGCCTTTTGGGGTCTCTTGGGAGCCTCTTGGGGGCCTCTCGGGGCTTCCTGGGGGCCTCCTGGGTGCCTCTTGGGGCCTCTTGGGGACCTTGGGGGCTTCTTGGTTCCTCCTGGGAGTCTCTCGGAGCGGAGGGCTCGAAATGTCCGTTTTGGCCCCTCGTTTGGGCGCCTTCTTGGGGCCCTCTTGGGCCGTTTTGGGTCCCTTTTGGAGCTCTCTTTGGCCGTCTTTGGGGCGATTTGGGGAGCCTCTTGGGCTGTCTTGGAGCGTCGGGAAGCGAAAGATGCGGGACCGCCGAAATGCTTCATAACCAATGGGAAATTCAAGATTTTTCCTCTTGGGGCCCTCCTGGGAGTGTTCCTGGATGCCTCTTGCGGCGTCTTGCAGGTCTCTTGGGCCGTCTTGGGGCCGTCACGGCGTCTTGGACAGATCGTTCGGCGGTTCGTGGCGTTTTTGGATTGTCTTGGGGGCCTCTTGTGGCACTCTTGGCCTGTCTGACCCCGGACCCCCGCCGGGATTGACATTCTGGATCGGGACCCTTCAGGACCCCCCCCCAGGCCAGGGACCCCTCCCCCCTTTCGGCGGGGAAAGGAACCAGGGAAAGGGCTCCCCTTCGAGTGAATAACCATGTTTGTTATTGTCGTTTTGGCTAGCACGGGAACGGCTGGCGCGTTGGAGAAGGAGACCCAGGAGAAAGCTTGGAATGGCGACGGCGAAGACGACGATGAGAAGACGACGAATGAAACCTTGGCGGATGGAGTAGCTTCTTCCACACGCCGTCTTTGATATACATCAGCAGATTCTATCTACGCACTAGAGCGAGGACATGCACGATAAAGATGCCTGCGTGACCAAACCAGGAGGACGTGTACTCCGATCCTGGGACACGGCAGGATCGGTGTAGGTGTCTTGTTGGCGCCCTCTTCGCCTTCTTTGTTTGTTGCGCGTGGATCCTCGTGCTCCATCCTTGTGCTCGACTCTGGCTGCGTGTCCACATCCACCGCGCTTTGGAGCCGTGCCTTGCTGGGGCCCCGAGGGGCAGATGCTTTCTGATGCCTGCGTGTCCCTGCCGGGCTGAATAGAAATCAACACCGATCCCCAGAAGCTGTGGGTGTGCTTGTCTACCAATGTAGGAGGACGAGGAGGAGAGCGGGACGAGGAGGAACAAGGGTCAGGAGAAACAATGAGGAGGAGGAGGAGGATGAGGAGGAGAAGGAGGAGGAGGAGGAGGAGGAAGAGGAGGAGGAGGAGGTGGACGCGGAGGAGAACAGGTGATCATGAGCGGGAGGAGGAACAAGGATGAGGTGGACGAGGAGGAGAACGGGTGATCGAGAAGATCCTCCTCTTCCTCCTCCTCCTCCTCTTCGTTCCAGTCCTTTCTCGTACTTCCCTTCTCCTTTGTCACGCCCATAGCCGTCGTCGTCCCTCCTCGAACTCCTGGCAAAGACGAGCACCACGACCACGACGATCACGGCTATGACGACGACGACGACGTCGACGGCCACGTTGGTCACGACGAGCACGACGGCGCTGAGGACCACGACGACCAAGCCACGACGACGACCACAACAGCGAGTGGCCGCGGTGGATGTTGTTGCTGTGTCCGGAAAGCGCAAGGCTCGAGTTTGCCAGAACTCGAGCTTGCCGACGCTGTTCGGCTCTCCCGTCCTGGATTTAGACGGTCCAGTTTTCGTGGGATGTTTGAAGCGGGAACTCGCGTCAAATGTCTCAGACTGGGTCTCGTCAGTTCCTGGCGGCCCCGCCAGACCAAGCCCCCCAAACCCGAGTTTACGCCTCCCCGCTTGTGGTTATCGTGAGGACGAGCAGGACGGTGTCTCGACGACCACGGCGACCGCGATCGTCACACGGCGTCGATGGCGACGACCCCCTCGAGGTGAGGTGCCTGGCGCTGCCTGGCGGCGGCAGCGAGCCACCGCTGTTGCAGTCGCCGGCGCCCGCCGCCGCCGCCCCGGACCCACAGGCGCCGCGCGCGGGTCGTCATGTGGCTCTCGCCTTCGAGCACCGCGCATCTTCGTTTTGAAAGTTTGCAGCAGTTTCGCGTTTGGAGGGCGGTTCCTTTTCAAAAGGTGGCCCTCGCTTTAGCCTGATGGCCACGGTACGGCACGGCACGGTCTGGTATCAGGAACACGCGTTGCTGGTACGGTCAGTTGTGTCCCGTTCATACCGCCGGTATCAGATGCGCTGGTGCAGTAGCAGGACCCCGCGGTACCGGTGCCGGTACGGTGCCGGGGGCCCGTAAGGTAGTGGGGCTATGTTTTGCTTCTCTCTTCCTGAGAAAGCCCCTCGAACTACCCAGAGCCTTCCGAGCATTGCGTTGGCGTGCGAGTTTGCTGAATGCAGCCTTCGGCGCGCGATGTCGAAGCGTTTCGGCATGGGCAGTCGATAACAATGTCTTTCGCCATCGCTGCAGACACATGGTCATGAGATGCTGTTTCCTTCGTGGGAGGGAGGCAAGGTTTGTCCGCCCCTATCTGGCGTTTCCGTCAGAGACCAGGCGGCACAATCAGCCGTCATCCAACGCAGGTGGTTTGTTGAGCGGGCGTCTACGTTTGTCGACGATCATTGCATGCAACCCCTGTGCTGACCAGCCCTAGCAGGGGCGAAACGTTGACGCGCACACTGCAGACGGCGCGGGCTTGATAACGCCATTCGAGCCAGGCATGGGGGGCAGAAACACGACGAGGAGGCAGGCGGAAGGGGGAGCAAGGAGTGTGGGCGTAATTCGGGGAGGACAGCGCCAGGACCCCCGCAGGGGGTTCTGTAGGAGGGCGCCCCTCCCCTCTCTCTCCTCCGTCGGGGGCCCGTCGCCACGTGAGCGACGCAAAGAAAGGGAGTCGTTTTCACCGACATTGGCGCGTAAGCTGCCCGCGCAAGGTCCCGCGTATAAGCGCGCTCGTCTCCAATGTGGCGTGCCACGATGGCGGCCTGCGTGAGCCGCCGCGTCAGATCGCTGCGTCATCTCGCAGGGGGGGGGGGTGCGTCGCCATGGGGGCGCCCGTCGCCAACGGGGGAGGGGTCGCCACGGGGGAGCCCGTCGGCACCGGGGGAGGGGTCGCCACGGGGGAGCCCGTCGCCACTAGGGGGGCGCCACGGGGGGGACCGTCGCCACGGAAGGGTCCCCAACCCCCCACGGGGGGGGCCCGTCCCCCCGGAATGGGGGGGTCGCCACGGGGGGCCTGTCGCTACGCGGGAGCCCGGCACTGTCCCGCCGAACGGCCAGCCGATGCCCGAACCGTGGCCCGAGAGCCTCTGGCAGGGGGGCGGAGGGCCTCAGATTTGGGCATGGGGTCGAGAGTTTGGGGGAAGGCGGAGGGTGAAGGCGGGGGTAAGGTGGAGGAGGGTGAAGGCGGGGGGTGAAGGCGGGGGGTAAGGTGGAGGAGGGTCGAGAGTTTGGAGGAAGGTGGAGGAGGGTGCAGGCGGGGGGAAGGGAGGGAGGGAGGGAGGGATGAGGTTCCAGGTTGTCCCGGGGGGCGCTGGTGCTCCAGGGTGCTCTAGAGGGGGTCCACGGCTGGGCGCTTTCGAGGCGGGGGAGGAGGACAAGGAGGAATCGGCAAAGAACGAGAGGCGGACCGGGGCGGACTGATCAGAGGAGGAGAAGGGGATCCCCAGATCTGGGCGCCGTGGGCAAACATCTGAAAGTGGTCGCCTTTTTTCCAGTGTCTCTCTGAATCAGTGTCGCCGCTCCGCTGCGCATCGGGCACGGGTCAGCACTGCGGCCTGACAATGCAGCAGACAGGATCATGAGGTCAAGACGCCGCTTAACGCAACTTTCGGCTCGGCCCTTCGTTCCTTTTGCAGCGTCCCTTCTGGTCGCACGATGACTGTAAGGATGAGGAGCTTTCCAAGATCCGATCAGAAGGATGAGTAGCTGTCCAAGGCCCCCCTTTCATCCTTGCATCTTCGGCCCACCCTTCGCCATCATCGTTTGCCATTTTCGTTGTTCCTCTCTCTCTCTCGTCTCTCGTCTCTCTTTCTCTCTCTTGCTCGTGGGGTGGTTATTGGCGTTCGTCTCACTCCTCTCTCGCCGCCCGAGGTCCTTGCATCCCTGCCGCGCATCCCTCCGATCCCCTGTCGCACTGCATCCGTTCTTGTCGTCAGAATTTACGGATCCTCGAGGAGGGCGTTGCTGCCATTGACGGCGCGGAGATTGCGGAAGCGATCTGCACTCTGGCCGGCCACGCGCTTAGCATGGCCCGAGCAGCACACAGACGGTTGTCATCTGATTGTGGTCTAAATCTGAGGGCGGGTTTTCTCTAATGATTCATCAGACATCAGGGCTTCCGACTCACGTGGATCTGTTTTAGGTCCCGCGCTTATTGCCTGGTTCGGGGCGGGCAGAAGTCGCTGCATTTGGCTTCTCCTGCCCCCTCGTCTCCCGGCTTGGAGGGTGTTGGGAGCGGTGGGGCCTTTCGGCGGGACTAGCGGCGTCGCGGCGGCCTGGGGTGGGCCTGGGAAGGGGGGATGGCCTGGGGGGGGGGGGAGGGCTGGGGCTTGTGGCTTACAGCCAAGGCGCCGAGCTTAGCACCAGCTCGCCGCGCGCAGGCGCCCTCTCCTCCACGCGGTGTGCCGCGTTGGCGGCCCGCGTAAGCCACGGCCTCTTGCGTAAGACCCGTCTCTTCTCATTGCGCGTTTGGCGCTCCTGACGGTAGTATCTCGACTCTAGGGGGGGGGGGGGGGCGCGGGTGGGGTGGGGGAAAGCAGGACTCACCACTGGCCCCAGCGGTGGCGCCAGTTGGCCCACTGGCTGTTCGCAGCAGCGCGCATCTCTGAGGGAGAGAGAGAGAGAGAGATATAGATCTATGTAAACATATGTATATATACACATATAAACATAGTTTCATCGCCCGCGGCGGCCCTTAGTCCCGTCCGCGTCTGCGAGGGTTCGTTTTTCCGATAGGTTGGGGTACAATCCACATATACCGTTTGGGAGACCGATCTTCCTGGACTTTCGGAGGCCCCCACCGTGCGGTGGGTCAGTGGGGATTCGGGTCGCTCTCCGAGGACGTCTCGGGCGATTGGGGCCTCCAGTGTCTCAAACGCGTGCGGTAAATGTCGGTGCGGTGAGGTCTTTGGGGATTTTTCCCCACATCCCAAGTGGGGTTCTTGTTTTCTCTGGACACCCCGCGCAGGAACAGGAACCCACCATCATCATCATCATCATCATCATCATCATCATCATCATCATCATCATCATCATCATCATCATCATCATCACTAATTCCTCACTCACTCACTCACTCATCATCCCTCACTCACTCACTCACTCACTCACTTACTCACTCACTCACTCACTGACTCATCAGAACTCACATATGATGTTGATGAGTGTGCGCGTGAGAGAGTGTGATGATCATCATCGTCACCAGTCAGTCAGTCACTCACTCACTCACTCACTCACTCACTCGCCTTGGGCCTCGTCTGTGAGTGAATTGCAAGGAAGTCTCAAGCGGGAGCCCCATCCCTACGGGGCCCGCGGATCATGTTACTAATCCGAGCGGGTCATCCAATTCCTGTAACTGTCGCCACTTTTGGGCTCTCGCGCTGCCAGAACGCCGTTCCCAGGCCACATCTGTGAGTGAATTGCGAGGAAGTCTCAAGCGGGAGCCCCCTCCCTATGGGGCCCGCGGATCGTGTTACTAATCCGAGCGGGTCATCCAATTCCTGTAACTGTCGCCACTTTTGGGCTCTCGCGCTGCCAGAACGCCACTCCCAGGCCACATCTGTGAGTGAATTGCGAGGAAGTCTCAAGCGGGAGCCCCCTCCCTATGGGGCCCGCGGATCATGTTTTTATCCCGAGCGGGTCATCCAATTCCTAAAACTGTCGCCTTTTTTGGGCTCTCGCGCTGCCAGAACGCCATTCCCAGGCCACATTTTGAATGCCCGGAGCCAACTGTAGGCCACTTCGTGATCTTCGTGCTCCCAGAACGCCATTCCCAGGCCACATGTTGAATGCCCGGAGCCAACTGTAGACCATTTCGTGTTCTTCGTGTTCCCAGAACACCACTCCCCGGCCACTTTTTGAATGTCCGGAGCCAAAACAGGAGGGCGAGGTCGGGGGCAACGTAGGGAGCGGGGGGAGGGCCCGCGCCAGGGCGAGAAGAAATATACGCAGAAGAGACAGCCAGGACGCCTCACCAACCACGAGGACGACGGTGAGGGTTTTTTTCCAGATTCGCCCAGAGGATTCTCATGCGGGGTCCTTCCGTCGGAGTAATGAGGTCACCGCATGGTCCGTCACTGCACCGCTTAGGGATCCCAAGAGGTTGTGGATGTGGTTGTGCTCTAGGCGCTTAGCATAGCGCCACCAACCCATCCAGAAACGATGCCCAGGTGAATTGCCTTGATCAGGGATGTGGAGGAGCACGCAGTGGAATAGAGGGCTGGAGAAGCTGTGGTACTCTAAAGCGAGCTGAGGGACATAAAGGGGCGGAAGCGAGCGTGCGCCCGCGGCCGCGTCGGCTCAAGCGGCCGGCCGCCCAGATATGTCTGTGCCTCATTGTGAGGCATACGATTTGCCATCGAGACCAAAAGGACCTTTTTACTGCTTAAGATGGTACGACCTTTGCTACCGGGACTATCGTTGACACGGTACAACAGAGCTGGGGCTGGGCTTCGCCTAAGGCGAAGCTGCTGGTTTTGCTTCCCAGCCCCTGTCAAACTTGGTAGCGGAGCTGGCCTATGGTGGTCAGCTCTCGCTCTACTCTTCACCAGCCAGTGCAGTATCTGGTGCATGGTGGACTACAGACATGGTGGAACATCAGGGTGCAGTGGGTTTGCGCGGAGGAATGTATATAACTACGCAGTACGGCAAGGACACTTGCAGCGACTCCTCCGCTTACGCGGAGGCCTCTTACTTTCTTCCTACATCCCTGCGCTACTAAACTCCTGAGGCCCACCCACCTACTCCAATGGGAAACTTCTTCGACTACATAATGCATGGATGCATGCGATACGACACGGTGCCGCCCCCACCCCCACGTAGACTTACAGCCACACATCAGAAGCCCCAACCTACTACATCCGATTACGACCTGCGAGGTCATTGGATTGGTGTTACTATCTTTGGGTTCACATGGGTCGCTATCGGGTGTGCGGTAGGACATATGCGTGGCGGAGACGACGCAAGAACGACCGGCCCTCATTGGGATCCAGCCGGTCAGGTACCTTTTCCGCGAATTTGTTCGCGAGACACATGCCTGGATCAACGTGACCACAGGCGCCATGACACCCCCCCTGCAAGCTGCAGCCCTGCAGCGAGATTTGGGTGGTCTCGCACGGACCATAGCCATGGTAACCCCCCCAGCAGTTATCAATATTGGCGTTAACATAGGTGGTCGCCATGCCGACGGCGTTACCTACATCATGTTCTTTTTAAGCACGAAGTTCGAGAATTAAAATGAGGAGAGCCAGCTCAACTCTGGTACAACTCTCATTGACTTCCGAGTCCATGCGGGAAAACGCATCGACCAGACGTTAGCACGCTTCGATATAGCCGCTATGAGGCTTAAATGGCTGGCGTCAACATCGCCAACTTTCAAATCCTAACAGTGATTATAGGCAGAGCTCTTGGAGTGGGGACATCGCGTGCACAACAACTCCTGCAGCCTCTAAACCACCACGTGCCGAGGGACCAGCAACATTTTGACGCTCCGCTCGAACGCATGAGGTCATATGCTCACATTGCTGAGAGAACCCCTGGTAACATTGGTGGTATTTTCAGTCACGGTCACCGAACCGAGACCTTGCACGCGGAGGCCAACGCAGGGCAGCATGCTAACAACGTCTGGAATGACGATCCACAACCAAGTGAGACCACTACACTACTGGCTCAGAGCGGTGGATCGGTCTCGGGGTCGCAAGACTCCTGGGCCAGGTTTCGGGGGCCGCCCGACGCGGTAGCCCCTGCGCAAGCCATGGCCCTAATGGGCTCAGCGGGGCAACCTGCCGAGTCCGACTTCGACTCTGGTGCTGACACAGATGCGTCTTTGAACGACGAGGCCACAGCCCTTTATTGCTCCGGTGTGCCTACATGCCTCACGGAAGAGCAACAGGCGCAATGGTTATTCTTAGGATACCAAATGCATAAGCGCCGATGGCGGCGATTCATGAAGAAGCCCGGGCGCGAAGCACGGCGTGCCGCGCGACCAGCGCTCAAAGGAAAGGGCAAGGGTCGAAGTAAGGGTACAAGGTAAGCGTCGGCGATTGCATGGTAAAGGCATATTAGCATTCCCAGCATCCCTCACCAGGCCACAGCATGGAGAAATTTTTTCAGGTAGCAGGCAGAAGCCGCAGGCGTACATCAGGAACAGGTAAAGGACGTTAGGGAAACCCGAATAATGCCAATGGTTAGACTGTGGAGTGCGACATGTGCCACAGCACGCAGCACTTTCGCCGCGAACGCCCTCGCGGCGATGGGCGAGGCAGGGGTCCGTCAGTACATCTGGCTCAAACCAATTCTGACATGCACTATGTTGACTGGGAGTCTCTTTTAGCTGACCCTGCCGATAGCTCAGCTGCAGTTGTCAATGTCATGGCTGCCAGATACCTGAGCGCCAACATGGCCCTCGAGAATTGCGCCGGCGAGCTGTTCGAGGAGGTGTTCGCTGGCCGCGGCGATATCGATCTGGCAGAATGGCTGGGCACGCCCATCGCGGGGCAACCGGCAGAGATTGAATGCGTCGAGAACTTCCACATGCCCGCCGAAGGCGATGCAGACACGGCGGGGGCGCCCGCGGATTCAGAAGTCATTATTCCTGCGACAGGCGAGGAAATGCAGCTGATGCTTTATCCTCGGGTTATTGGAAATCCGACAAACATGGGATTCAGCCACGGCGGCCCTTCGCGGGGAAGCCCGCGAGACGCCAGCGATCTGTCTGAGCGCATTCATCATGAGCGCGGCCACAATGAAGGATTTCATTGCGCATTCGTTGCTTCGGGCCGCCGCGTGAGCCGCCAGAGGCGATCGGCGAGCCGCCAGGTCTGGAAGAAAAAGTATCGCGACGATGATGATGGCGACGAAGAGTGGGAAATTGACGATCGTCTGGAACGCCGCGGTCGCATTCCCAGTCACTCACCTAATCTGGCGCGCGAGCGTTCCATCGACGCCCGCTCGAGCGGCCTGCGGCGCCCTCATCTTCTTGATGCGGGTGCTCCAATGGCCCCATCCATGGCGGA